CTTGTTACCTCAAAATACCATGTGCATTGGGTATGTGTGGCCTCCCTCACAGGTTCACTGTCAAATCTCTCATCTGGAAGTTTTTGACCAGAGAACTGGAAGAGAATTCTCTCTGGAGGAAAGAACTTCAGATGACCCTTACCTCTTAGCTCAGAGATCAGGTTATTTTGCTAGGAGGTGCCTTTTGCTTGGACCAGCATTAGTTGTGCAGAGAGGTGCTGGTAGCCTAAGGGATGGTCGTGCACCAACTAGTGTTTAATAAAGTCATCATACAAATTTATATTTGTTCATCATGTACTACAAATACACAATGTAAGTCCACTAAACCAAGGATAATTTAGGAAGGACATCCAAAGATTATTTCCATTAAAGTATGGGATAAATAAATCGTTAGTCATTAAAATTACCATCCAAGTTCACATTGGCTCTTGTGTTGTGAAGGTGTAAATATTAACTAACTCCTTGTAATTCTGCACTAATACACTTGTCACATACATACATACACACCATTGTTAAGTATTTTATCTAAGTGCCATACATATGGTGTATCTTGATATTTCTGTAATAAGTTGTACTTGACACAGGAGGAGACGTCTGGTCCTGCAGCAACACAGCACAGCACCTTATATCACGGCTCCTGTACAGAAGAAAACTTATCTACTGATTCTTGGCAGATTATGTTACCATTTGAGGTGAACTGAAGCCTTGATGTAATAGTGATTGAAGACTACAGTACAGGAGGAGAGAGAGTGTTATCTGGCATTGGTATTAAAATAGTTAGCAACTGTGTGTTAATAACTTACAGGGTTCAGTTTAACACAGATAGGCTCATCATATATTTTAATAAAGTACAGGTATCCCCCAAGATACTTACAGTATGTCCAATAAATGAACAATCATTATTACAAAAATATCAGTTTGACTTGACAAATTCCCCTCAGTCACAGGGTCAGTATAGCCCAGTGGTGCATTGGCACTATTGCAGAATGTTGGTTGTGTTTAATGTATTTATTATTTTACAAGAATTATATTGGTGAAAAACCCACCAGTTGACTGATTTTTCCCTCCCAGAACATAATACAAGAGTTGTACCATTCAATATGTTTTTTAACTTAGAACCCTTAGTGCTATACAGTATGTTAGAGGATACCTGTACATGTAAATTAATGTACAGTACTGTAGGTTCACCTGTTGGGGAAGTGAAGGCAGTGTTAATCACAAGGTTCAGTATACAGTACACTGCTCTTAATGGACCATCATGCTTGTGTGGATTAACCAAACACTACTTAACAAAGTTCATTTAAGTTGTAGTGGAAAAATAATTAATTTGCAGAACTTGACATGAAGTATTTATGAAAAATGATTCAATGTGTACATAATGTGAGGTGCCTGGTGGAAGAGTGATGTATGTGCCAAGACCACAAGCAAGGTTAAAGTTTGTTTACACTGTATCCCACCACACTTATAGTTTTATACTGTATATCCTCTGGCAACTGTTGAAACAAACATCTTGCTTGACCACTAACTCGCTTCCACCGAGTGCCTCATACATTTGTGTTTTTCACAACTGTATTGTACTATATTGTATTGTACTATATTATATTGTACTGTACTATATTGTATTGTACTGTACTATATTACTGTATATTGTATTGTACTTTACTATAATATATTGTACTGTACTATATTACTGTATATTGTATTGTACTTTACTATATTATATTGTACTGTACTATATTGTATTGTACTGTACTATATTGTATTGTACTGTACTGTATTGTATTGTACTGTACTATATTGTACTGTACTGTACTATATTGTATTGTACTGTACTATATTGTATTGTACTGTACTATATTGTACTGTACTGTACTATATTGTATTGTACCATACTGTACTATATTGTATTGTACTGTACTATATTGTATTGTATTGTACTATATTGTACTGTACTGTACTATATTGTATTGTACTATATTATATTGTACTGTACCATACTGTACTATATTGTATTGTACTGTACTATATTGTATTGTACTGCACTGTACTATATTGTATTGTACTGCACTGTACTATAATGTACTGTACTGTGTTTTATTGTACTGTATTGTACTATATTGTATTGTATTATATTATACTGTACTATATTGTACTGTACTGTGCTATATTGTACTGTACTATATTGTATTGTACTGTACTATATTCTATTGTACTGTACTATATTCTATTGTACTGTACTATATTATACTGTACTGTTCTATATTGTTTTGTAGTATATTGTATTGTGCTGTACTTTATTATACTGTACTATATTGTATTGTACTATATTCTATTGTAGTGTATTGTACTATGCTGTGCTGTACTATATTTTATTGTACTGTACTATACTGTATTTTATTGTACTGTTCTGTATTATACAGCCACTCCTTGACTTACGAGAGGGTTAGGGACCCAAATCCAGGTCGAAAATGCGAAGATACGTAGAAAATCTAAAATGGGCTTCTCTTTTTCTTCTCAGCACCACAAAACTCATTTTTTTTTTTTTTTTTTTTTATCCTCTTCGCCACTGATCGGCTTGTTAGCCGCTTGGGCGATCGGTCGACTCTTTTCCTTTATATTTTCACCAAAAGGTCGGCTCGCTAGCCGCCCGGGCGATCGGTCACGTCTCTGTCACGCACTGTTGGCAAATACTGGGCATGCACGGCTCCTGAATGTACCTGAACCCGCTCCAGTGTTGGTCAAGTCTTCTCTTGAAAGAGCTCACACTCGGTGCCGTCACAACACTCTCTGGTAGATTGTTCCAAGAGTTTACAACCCTCACTCCGAAAAAGTTTGCCCTCACGGTTTTCCGGACTTGCGGCTTCTTCAATCTTGAGCTGTGACCCCTTGTGGGGCGAGCGTCCGCCAGCTCCAAGTAAGGACACTCAACTGAGTAGTGCCCCCTGAGATGCTTATAAACCTCAACTAGGTCCCCCCTTGCCCGTCTGTAGTATAAGCTAGGCAAGTTCAGGCGCTCCAATCTCTCAGGGTAGCTGAGGTGCCGAAGTGCAGGCACCAGTTTGGTGGCCCTCCTTTGAACATTTTCAACCAACTGACAGTCCCTAGCATATCTCGGGGACCAGATGGGGTGACAGTACTCCAGATGGGGAAGCACTTCACTCCTGAAGATCGTCACGAGGGACGGACCGTCTAGATATCTGAACGACCTTCTTATAAGACCCAATAATTTATTTGCCTGATTTACCTTCTTCTCACAATGGCCCGAGAACTTCAGCTCATTGTCAACATACACACCTAGGTCCTTCTCACACACAGTCTCAACTAGTACATTTTCTTCATCCCGTTGGGACATATGGTACGCCTCCTTACCGTTGGTACGCCCCAGGTGCATCCTCTTACACTTCGTGACATTGAATCTCAGCAGCCATTCCTTCGACCATTCCTGGAGCCCACAGAGGTCCTTCTGCAGCTCTTCACAGTCCGCTTGGTTCTTAATTTCCCGAAATAACTTGGCGTCATCGGCAAACATTTGTATGGAGGAGTGTACAACGTCAGGCATATCATTTATGAAACAAACAAACAACAGCGGGCCCAATACACTACCCTGCGGTACCCCACTTGTTACAGGTACAGATGACGATTTCGTGCCATTAATCACCACACATTGCTTGCGGTCATGTAGAAAGTCTTCTATCCACGCTAGGACATTTCCCCGAATTCCGTACCCTTCCAGTTTGATTTTCAGCCTTTCGTGGGGTACACTGTCGAAAGCCTTGGCAAAATCTAGGTAAATATTGTCGATATTACCACCCCGTTCTAGAATATGGGTCCAAATATCCAATACCTTGAGCAATTGTGTCAAGCAAGAGCGCCCCGGCATAAAACCGTGTTGGCAATCTTTTACAAGGTTGTTTCGTAGTAGATGTTCCATCGCTGCATCTCTGATAATACTCTCAAGTACTTTACATATTATGCTGGTCAGGCTCACCGGTCTATAGTTGTTCGTGGAGTGCCTATCGCCCTTCTTGAAGATAGGACTCACATAAGCCACTTTCCATTCACTGGGGACCATTTGTTCATCCAGGCATTTACAAAACAGAATCTTCAGGGGCTCTGCAAGCTCGTTGCACAGCTCCCTTAGCACTCTAGGATGCACCATGTCAGGTCCAGGACTCTTATGGACCTTTAGCCTGGACAGTTTATTTCTAATACCCTCTTCTGTGAACACAATGTGGGTCAGTGCTGTGTCGAACCGTCTGTCCTCAAACGCAGGAAGGTTAGTTGCATCCTCTCTTGTGAACACTGAGGAAAAGAAGCTGTTCAATGCCTCAGCTTTATCCTGGTCAGAATCTGCGTAACTACCATCTTCAAGCCTCAGGTCTGATACTCCTACTCGCGTTTTCAATTTCGACTTTGCATAGCGGTAAAACGCCTTTGGGTTTGACTTGACCTCGCGTGCAACCAGCCTTTGGAACTCCTTTTCAGCCCTCCTACACTCTATCTTTGCTTGGTTTCTGGCTCTTGCATACATCCTCCTGTCTTGCTCATCGTTTGACCCAACCCACGTCTTGAATTTCTGGGTTTTCTTCTTAATTTTGTCGACCGCCGCATGGTTCATGTGTAGGGATCCCCTCGTATTCCTAGAAGCACTGGGTTTGGTCTTGGGTATATATTTATCGATCAAATGGGTCATTTTACTAGTTATGATATTCAGCGTAGTGTCTGCGTTCTTGTACCTTAATAAGTCAGGCCAGTTGATACCCCTCATCTCTTCCCTCATCCCATTGTAATTTCCCTTGTAATATTTGCACCTTGGCCTGGCCTTATCTTGAACTAGGTAACAGTTAAATCTGAATGACAACACTGTATGGTGACTGGTGCCAACTGGGGCAAGGTGTTCCAGTTTGGCCACCATACCCTCCTCGTTTGTTATGATGAGGTCAAGTGGCTTGGGTGTTTGCTCCCCTCTGTAATGTGTCGGGTCTCTCACATGTTGGAACAGAAAATTATCTCTCAGAGTTTCTACAAAAAGAGTAGCAGGATTATTCAAGTCATTCGGGGTTGACTCGTTTCTCCAGTCGATGTCGCCATAGTTAAAGTCCCCCATGATAAGGAGGTGGCTGGGGTTGAGCATCGCCGCATTGTTTATTAAGGTTCTTAAGTTCCTTTGATTTAGTGGGCCACAGTTCGGGGATCTGTAGATACACCCGACGATAAGTAAGTCCCCTCCCTTTAATTTAATTTTACACCACTTGGACTCTTCAAAAACATCCTCTCCCTGTACCCTCGCCTGGCTGGCTCTAAGGTCTTGCCTAGCGTAGATAACCACACCCCTCCTGCAGGATTCTTGAGTTAGGTTCGTAAATGAGTCATATCCAGCAATACTGAACTCACATTCCTCTGGGTCGATTCTCCTGTTCTTGTACAACAGTTCTACAACTCCTACAATATCTGGTTGGTGTACTCTTAGTAGTGTTTCAAACTCCTCCCTCTTATCAAGGAACGTGTGGTATTAGTGTACATGACATTCAAGCCAGAATTTGTTCTCGGTAACGTCTCTGCTCTTAGTAATAAACCCGCTCCACCCACATTCTCAGAAGCTGCAGCATTTGCTAAGTACACTGTATTTTGCAGGGT